ATATTTATTATAATTAATGTACCCATCTAAAAATAATAAACGTCCATCGAGTACATAGTGCCATTGAAACGATACATGGAAAGAAAAATTAGCAAAGTATATTACTTAGACTTACGCCCGGTTTCTGAATTGAGAATTTGAATTTGAGCACGTCTCATATCAATTAAGCAGGTCTTCATTACTGATTTATAATTTTTTAATGATCAGTTAATAGCAATTTGATAAAACTGGGACTTTTTGCAATATGAAACGTAAAAAAACTTAAGTTATTGAAAAGAATCCGTTGAGATTTTGTGCTTTTCTCAATTCATAATCTGGCCGTTACACTTTGCTTACACTTACACTTTTTCTTTTTCAAATTAAACACTCAGTTATAGTAATTACATAGAAATAAAACGGTATACAAAAGTCAGTCCTATTTCTAAGCAGCAATCTTTTCAAAACTGTTAATTAATGGATACCAAAAGTACTTTCGCAATTTTACGAAAGGAAAAGATAACCGAGAGCTGATTAATAAGTTTACCATAATAACCAAACATTTTATTTCCAAAAAGGTAGAGCAAACCTTTTTAAGTATAATCAAGTGTTCCGATCAAGATTTTTGTCATTCCACAAACTGGCTTCAACTCCTTGCTCGTTATAAAATTATTTGTATTTAAAAGATAAATTAATATGCAAAAGTTTGTATATTTACGTACACACAGAATGTACAATACAATACCTATACAGTATTGAACGTTGAGTAGATTGAAGTAGTATGAATTTGATGCAAACCAAATAGAAGCCTATATATGTTACGAGGCAGCCCTAAACGTCAGCATGTAATGACTAATGTTGAAAAATAATCTTTAGCGTAACGTTACATATCCATTTAGATAAGGTAAATGGAAATTGAGCGATCGATTTTTTTGCTTAGTTCTATGTCTGTAATATTGATCACGAATTAATGCGACAAAAGGTCAGTTGCACAAACGTCCATTAAGGTTTAATGACGCGTGTTGTTCTTTTATTGTCTAATTTGTATGGGTTAGTTTATTTATTGTCTAGTTGTAATGGGCGTTTGTGCAACTGGCTGTAAAAGTACCTACGTGGATGAAGGAAATACGTATAATTCCTAATGCTAATTTGCGTCGTGACAATAATCTTTATCTTTGGCATTTAAGAGTAATTTTTTTCTTCGGCAGTAATACTCTTTTTTTTCGGCATTAATACTACTCGTACTAGAAGCTTCAAACGAAAAGAACATTAACCATTGTAGATTACACAATCCAGACTTCCACGTGTTGCAAGTTATATTTAGACTTCGTTCTTGATACGATGCACAATTATTTCAGCGCTGGAAAGCTAATTTAACGAGACGTCTCGTTTTCAGATATTAATTAGGATCTTGGCTCGCGAACAACCAAAATTAGGTGATTCCTAAGAATAAAATTCTCATTATTTTTTTCAGAGACAAATAGTTTTTTTAACTCGTTTGACTAATAATTTTGTTGAAATATCCGTAATCCCAACATCGGCTAACACGCTTGAATTCTGTTGACGCAGTTGGTCACCAGTTTTTTTACGTGTGACAAAATAGTGATTCGTGGCCAAAATAAGTATTACAGGAGATATATGAGTTAGATTGTGTTGTGGCTGGATATAAACCCGGCAGTGCCCTAATTGGAACTGTGTAGGCTATATATTGTGAATTCCAAACAGCTGTCCGGGGAGGAATATGTGACTATGAGACGAGAACAGGGTCATAAATGATAAAAAAATAAACTTGTACATCATTAACATATATATTTAAAACTGAGAACGGCTTGAGTTCAGGTAAATCGAGTCAATTATGCATTTCAAAACCAAAGACCGTGGCTCTCGCTGTCGGAAATAACGGATTCAATTTTTCATTGATAAGATGAAGGTTTTAATGGCGACTAAAATATATCCGCTGTCGTGTCTGTTATATCGAAACATTCCGCTGGCCAGTTTCACAATTTACTGAGAAATAATTAACCGACGCGAATCATAAGACTTCCTAATAATGCGATTTCTAATAATAGTGAGTAAGAGGTTAACATCACTGGTTTAAATGTAAATGCACAATATTTTTTACTATAACTGCAAATGCAGAATAAAACCTACCTATATTATTAGATACTTTTTAGTACAAGTTCACTGATACGAAGCTTGAACACAAACAGGAAAATCATGAAAAAATTTATGAGGAAACGAAATAAGTAAATCTCTTCAGTTTACAATTCAAAGATTTATAAATCGGAGTGGCTTTCTCGGTGATTACGTCCGGATTCTCGGGTGCCACTCCCAATCGAGGGTATGTCCAGGGTTTTTAATGGTCCTCGACTGACTAGGTACCCCTACCGTCCCGTCAGGCGGGAGAGTAAAGCATTTTCCGTAGGTCAAAAAAGGCTATTTCAAGAGTTACTCGATACTTGACATACCTACAGATTCACCTAGTTTAGGCACATTATGATTATTTTCCTTCTAGAGGATAATATGTTTAGCCTTAGGTTTTATATAAATAGTTCAGCAAGGTTTTATTGTATTATTAGGGTTCCGTACCCGAAGAGTAAAACGGGAATTTTTACAGACGATGTATTTCTGCTGACACTTCAACAACAAATACTAAAAACCAGAATAAAATAAATATTTAAGAGGGCTCCCATACAATCAACGTGCGTGAGTCCGACTCGCACTTTGCCGGTTTTTATTATACTCAGCTTGGACTATTACTACTCGGTATTTAAATGCCAAACATTCGCTTTAATTAGAAAAAATAAAACCAATTGTACCTACAACTTAAAACAGCTCAATGCAGCTGTATTAATCGATTTTGAGATGACCTGAACTGAGTAATTTAGCCGAGTAGTCGGTATTATTCCTTCAATTAAATGAATATTTGCTATGTAACTAAAATCTCGAAGGCAACGGATAAATATAGCGTACGTTAAAACAATATATACGTAATGCGAGTAGCATTTCGTAAATTAAACGTTAACAAGTGAATTGACACAGGTCGCAACACACCAAGACTTCGATTCTAATATTAATATATAATCAGTGGTGTTTCTATTGATTTCTTGTTACCCAATGACCACTGTTACCACTGAATTAGTTACGTATATGTCAGGCTGACAGATCCATGGCTTCATTTTGAATACTCTTGATCGTCATAATTACATTACTAACTGGAACGAGCAAAATTGAGGCCTCGACAATACGTTCAGGTTTTGTTTATGTCGAGATATAAATTAGCTTGAAAAATCGAGTAGGTAACCAGCTTTTTAACCAAAAAGCAACTAGCTTTTACCGCGACTCTCGTGTATTTTGTATGAGAGTGTATTATATGTGTACTGGAAAAGAAGTTATCTATGTAGCCGTCGTATGTCTCTTTTTGCAACGGAAAGTGCATTGCTGCATACCCAGCCTCTCCAGCGCAGGTTAGCTAGACTATGTGGGGTTGTAATATAAGAATTCCCTAGAAGGAGGGCTAGTCTAAAATTCTCCGATGCTCCTTTCTATATATTTTTATACGGCGCATAAATATGGACCATTAAAGAGCAAGAACAAAAACAAGAGAGTCGGCGACGTAAAAACAGCTTCATCCTATACGAACTCGGTACCAAGATCCGCCCGCATACTTTAGTCAACAATAGAATCTTTCGCTACTTTGGCCATGTAATGCGCCGTGAGGAACTACCGTGCGGAAGGTCTCTATTGCGCTGGACCGACCAGATAAAAGTATTGACCAACGCATCTGTGAACGATAATGCCTACTAAGCCTCGGTTTGGGACAAGTGGAGAGTTGTAGTGCTGCGCACCTCCAAACATCATGCCTAACAACGACTACTCTCACCAAAAGCATACTACGAAGAAGTGTCTCTCTATGGGAGACGATTGGAGGCACCAGCCCAGAGGATCTCAAACTATCCTCGATAAGAGGTAGAAGATACACAACTGCACTATTTCCCACCCTAACCGGTATTATTTGAGAGATCTAGGCTACCTTTTGGGCCTACCCGTCGTCGATTGTAGATCCCTCACTGTCACCAGAAAAAGCGTACAAGACAGAATAAGAATTACTTTTTTAGTGTATAACAGTATTAGGTTCCACAAACTACAAGATTTCTTTACCTCATTTTAAACCTTAATATATTGGTAGCAGAGTTCAAAATACGATTTGTGATATTGTAATAACCTGAAATGCAGCCGTATGCACTTGCATACTATGTGGTAATCTATGCGGTAATCTTTTTATACCATACAGACTAATTACTAATGCAATTAGGAAGAAGACAATAAGTAGCATTAATATAATGTGAAAATGTGTGTAAAAAACATCAGAAACATGCTCCGTTGGTACGGACGCGTGGAAAGTATGCTGGATGAAAGAACGACAAAACTGATAATACATCGCTAATGTAGAGGTAGGATACAGGATACAGGCTTGTGATACAGAAGCCGAGAAAGGCCACGACACACCTTTCATTTCATGATCAAATCAATTACGTGGTGTTAGAAGGAGATATTAGAAGCTATAAAACCGGCGAGTATGAATGATAAAGAGTAATGACAGTGGATAAGGTGAAAGATGTATGTAAAGACCGTGCTTTGTGGCGTTCGGTCCTCTATGCCTACCCCGCAAGAGATACGGCGTGAAGATACAGAACATAATGTGACTGTTTATATTGGTATGCATGTATTTATTTATATTCGTAAAGGTATACATTGGTTGATTAATCAAACTGATCTTAATCCTTTTTGATTGTCGCATCACCTTCTAATGTTTTCTACAAAATTCTCTGTTTGATTTTGAAGTCCGCTATTCGTATATTTTTATTTGTGCTTGTTGTATAACGTTTAAATTAATAATAATCGAACGCAGTTATGAAAACAACCGATGAAAACAAAACATGGCGGCGTACCGACTCGCTTAATAATATCTGCATGACGATGAAAGAGTTTTAAAATAAAATTAATTAATAAAATTTTCTTACCTTGGCAATAAGTTTGCCGTCATCACCAATGAGGAACTCCTCCAAACCAAACACTAAAGGCGAAGAGTTTCCAAGGTGGAAAATCCTCGAAGAGGTGCCGCGCGTCACTCTAAACTCTATGGTCTTGGCTATCAGCACATTGGTGATCATATATACGGATTTCTTACCCTTCAAGTCTGAAACAAATATATCAAAGTACATTTGACACAAAAACGACTTTTCAATGTATTTATTTTAACTTTTAAGAAGTCTTTTAAAAAGTCCAAGGCAGTACATATAAAGAGATAGAGAGAGAGCGTTGACAGATTTATCTGCATCTAATATAGTCAAAAGATTGATTTATATGCAATTAAGATATAAATCAATCAATATATGATGGCTACGAAAATACGGGAACTTATTTCTGAAACGTACGAAGTTCGATTTGTTGATTCTATCAAATCGATAAATATTATAATGCGCAGTTCATAGTATTCAAATGACGCATACGCGGTGAGCGCAATAATAATTTCTCTACTGTGATTGCATGTGCATATTTCTACATTCTAATATCTCAATCATACGATAGCAGTAACGCTATAGTATAGTAAGGGTTGGTGCATATAGGACGAAAGATGTGTCCCATTCACATCTCGTCGGTGGAGGAACTGTCAATTTAAAGATTCTTGCAAGATGCTTTATCGTCTCTGTCCTCTTGCATGGCGTAGAACCTTGGACACTGACGGAAAATATGTGTGAAAGTGGCTAAGATGTGGGTATACCGGAGAATGCTTAGAATTTTATTGACATCTAAAGTGTGAAATGAGTGAGTACTGTGCAGAATGTGTAAATCGCTTGTAGTTCTAACAGCGATAAAGAGGAGGAATCTCGAATATCTGGGTCACATCACGAAAAATCAATAGTAAGAGTTGTTACAATTAATCATCGATATTTAGGACAACTGTATCGAATGTGGATATTGCCATAACGATTGCCAAACTGCACTAGCGAATAGCACAGAAGAATTAGCCACTCATCTGTGTATCAAAGTTCATTAAAATTGGTCCAGTAGTTAACGTATAAAAACTTAACAGACACACAGACAAAGTTACTTAAGTGTTTATAGTATTAGTATGGATCACAGTCCACCTTGCATACTCGACGGAAATTTTGTTACATACTAACGTGAGGTGCTTGACGGATCTGCCGTCAAATTTTTGCGCCGACTTTTATACAATTCAGTGCCGGCTTAAAGAAGCGTTTATACGGGGTCTGTAACAGTAACTGGCTCCTGAAGCATAGCAATGCGGACCTAGTGTAAACCGTACCGTAACGTTAACGTCTCGTTTTGAACGGTAACGTCTCGTTTCTGTTCGTTGTCTCCAAAGTAAACCCCGAGAGCAAGCAAAAACGCGATACCGATATGCCCATTCTCACAGCTCACAGTCGGTTACTTAACGCGAGGAGGAGGAGTGAGTAGGTGACAAGATCTTAAACGTGCATTTGATTCAAACCGATGCCAATAATATCAAAGCTAATCGAGTTGCGCAGTAGACGATGCCAAAGCTCTAGGGCCGAAAAGCCTGGGGCAGTGTAGAATTGAGAGGGGCGGAGCAAGCGGTACATGTTCATTTCTTTATTACCTTCTGTATCGTCATTTTAGCCGTTGGATTATTTTATTTATAACCAGAAGTTTTTGCTTTTTATGGACCTGTAAAAACCCGGAGTGCCGAATCCGTAAATGCGCCACTAATTACGAATGACGTCATTCGCACCACGAACTACCGCAATTCAGACATTTTCTTTCCTTGTCAGTGGGTACAGCTCATACGGCCGTGTAAACTAGGCATAAGGTCACTAGTACATAGTACTCGTTTTAGGGCATGAATGGGGTAATAGGGTCAGTGTTGGTATCGCGCGTGTAATAGCCCTGAATGCGATTGGTTAATGCTACCTATTGCGTTGTAATCATCGCTTTTCAAATGCTTCTTTATTAACTTTATGGCTGTATTAACTAAACAATCTGAAATCCTAAAGTAAAAAATCTATAAACATTAAAACAAACCTTTATTGTTTTCTACATCCAAATAGATATTGTTCACCAATTCCTTGTTTTTGGGTATTGTATGGCGTGAGAAGTTTACCATAATGACTCTCACTTTATTCTTGATGGACTCATCTTGTAAAGTTATCTGTAACAAAAAGTTATCGACATTAATTAAGGATGACAGGTATTTTAACAATTATTTGCTAAGAAATTTTATTTAATCATTCAAATAGGTACATTTTAATACTAATGTTGAAATGCATGACAAGATTATATATCAATCTTGTCATGTATTCATGGACTAGTTAAGAAATCAATAAAACTGCAATCAAGGGAAAATTTACTATAATTTGTCTATTACTTTTATGCTAACTAGTTAAATTATACATAAGCTTTAGTTCAGTACCTCTCCAAAAGACAAAGATCCTAATAATTGCATAAGAATTAACCTTAACTGCTGTTTATCTTATTTCACCTTCAAGTAAATGCTTGTATAAAATAATCATGTATTAAACATTTTGGTACAAATCCTCAAATAAGCATGTTGTTAGTTCTTTTTTGTGTTATTACCTATTACAGAACTATTGTCCTTGAACAGACACTTTATCTAATGTGTAATATCCTGCTTGGATATACAAAAATGATTCATGTTGGCTGTATGGAATTAATTCATTTGACTAGAAATGCTCAATAGAATTAATAAGTACATGTTAATTATTACAACATATGCATGTTTTCAACTGAGTGGTAATTAGTTTCTGAGTAAAGTTGATGAATAAAATAAACCCACATAAAGTGACATGAATTATGTAAACACTATAAATTCCTTGGAATAGTATGAGAATAATAAAATTAATACTTAAGAAATATGAATATACAAAACAGAAGTACCTATTAAAATTATAATTATTTATTTCATATTGGGTTTAGATGGGTTATAAAACTTTGAAACATTATTTAGAAAATAAATAAATAGTTAAACTTTAATAATAAAAATTATGGCACATATTTTAATAGAAACTTATAACAGAAATAAGTGTTTTAAGCAATTAATTTATTATTAAATTCTAATCTACTTTTGGTATCTTGTTCTTCATAATCCCTCATAAAAGAAATAAGAACTAAGTGTTTACTATATCTTCATCCCCTAACACTACACTATTGCAATACTATTTTTTATTCACTTCAGATGTTTCATCATACATTTAAACTTCTAAACTTGTACATTACTAATGTATATAATTCATTTAAGCTATTAAAACCTTAAAATGTCAAGTATGCAAAGATATCATTTAAAGTATGTCATCTTTTCATGAAAAATAAATACTAAAAGAGCTTCGCGACATAATCATTTTAAGGGACAGGTCAAGGTCAATCGAACCATTTCACAGTCGATAGAAATCCTCACCCTAATGGAGTAATTGTACATTTTTTTTACTAACTGACGTAGAGCGTTAAAATAAATAAACAACAAACCTTTACGCTTTCATGCGGAAATTTAAAGTCAGCGTCTTGGAAATCGGCTTCCTCCAACCACTTCACGTAGTCGACATTCGTCTTCTCCTTGTCGATGTTCTTGATGAGTTCCCCGAGAGGCGTGAACATTTTTCCGTTCGTTTCCTTATCATTATGAACGAAAAGAGATGTAATTTTATACAAATATGCCTCGGTTATATGCGGAATACATACTAGTTGACTGCTGCCGATTTCAATTTCTATTTCATCTCTGATAAAAGGCCAGGCATCTTCCAGTCTAAGCGATTTTAAGTCGCCTAAGCTTACATCTTTACGAATTTCATGTGAATACAGAGACTTTACAACAACTTTTAATTTTTTAGGCATTTTTACTTTGAAGTAGCGCAACACAATTATTTAAAACCAAACGCAACACAACACCTATAACGTCTTCGTAAATACTAAATCAAAGATTACAATTTTGTTGACAGTAGAGTTGACTTTTGTATGTATAATCTTAGTCTGTGTGATATAGTGTTGTCACCATGGGCTTAGTACTTATAACAGGACAAAGTACTTTCAACTGAAAAGCGAGCCGAGCGAGATATCAAGTACAGAGGCTATTTGTCTTATTCAAATAGTGTGACAATAACATGTTCGCCAAGTGAAACTTTCACACCACCAATCCGCATTGGGACCTACACGCGGGCCCGGTGAGGAATGCGGGATAGACTGGCTTGATGTTAAAGTAGTTAGGCTAAGTCCGAAACTCCGAACAAATTGCATTGAATTAGGAGACATAATTAACGGTAACTATGGAATGCAATCTTGCGAGATGTACTCTTTTATGTGTTTATTGTTGCAAATAATTACGATTATTAAATAAATTAGAAGAAATATTAGGACTTGTAATGTTTACTTCATCATTTATTTTTACGGGTATTTTCAATAAAATTATATGACTTTAACATTGTTTTACATAATCATATTATTTTTTTTTACTACTTTTAAACGAGCTATTATCTGTGTGTTATAATCTGAATCTTGGAAACGGCTCTAACAATTTTCATGAAATTTATTATGCAGCCATATTTAATCAGGTTAGTCATGCAGGTACTACACTTTTAAGTACTTAACTTTGACGTGTGTAATTAAATATGAAATGAAATAAACCACCAATCTTCTCTGCTAATATCAAATAAAAGTGTTTTATTAAACAGTTATTTTATAACAAAACTACAAGAAATCAAAAAATAAAATAAAACTCATTAAGTATGTAAGTTGAATTAATAAAAATAAAAAAACTGAGATATAATTACCGATTAAAAAGAACTATGTATACTCAGAGATCTATCACGAATTACAGAATAAATTAATAAAATATAATATAAATTTAAAGGTGAACAAACCTTAACCTCACACGCCATTATTACGAATGATTTTGAAAGTAGCTTCTTGAGAAATACAAAATTTCCAAAGAATAGCCTGCTTATTTTCTCCTTATCGTGGTGGTCAGATAGCCAGCCACTGAGAAGGCCCTTTCGGAAAAAGAGTACCGTAAATTTGTAAAACCTCAACACCTCGAATTTACGCTCGACTTTGGATTCGCATAAATTCACGCTTCCGTGCTTAGAATAAGTCAATTTTGTGCTTGAGTGCAATCTCGTTAAACTCAGGAGATCTCGCCCATTTTTAGACCGAGATCAGTCTCGCTAAAGAAGATTGCATCCCCTAACGGTAACGTAGTCAATAGAGCTTCAGTTATTTACATTTACATATAAATATTACATAGCGCGTGAGAAACGTCCGATGTAACCTATAATGTAGTCAAGTGCAGCGATAATACAATATTGATAAGATGAAGCTGTAATAGGTACCTTAAAATCAATTAAAAACTTTTGTCTATTTAAAAAAAATAGGAGATCTTTACAGGAACGTTTATTTTGGACCTGTTTTTTATTCTACTTAAAACTGTCTAAACTATATGAGACCCATTTCCCGGTTGAATCCTTTAAATAGCTAGTTACTTAATTTACTCTTATATTTGAAACTATATACACTGAATTTTCATGTCCGGCGGTCCGATTTTTTCAGGTCCTAGCCTAGCCTGTGCATTGTCAGGAATTTTACCGTCCGGGATTTTACTTTTCTCTATTCCGGACCGGTTTTTTCAGGTCCGTGATGGCGGCAATGAAAAACGTGTTTACGCTTGTGCACTGCTGTGTCCGAGATCCGGAAAATTCATAAAGAATAGGCTTGGGAAAAAATAATTGATTTGTGTATAATCGATATTTATTTCGGCGATATTGTTAATTTCCAATAAACTTATAATCGATATTTATTGTAGATTATAAAATGCTATATTTTATATGATGATTTTATATAGTTGGTAAATATCACTGCATATGCTATGGCAAACTCGGTATAGTTCTAATTTGATCAGCGTATGGTTCTGGTATCGATACTTAGCTAGATTTTAGAATCGTATTAAGTGTCGATAACTTAAGGTAAGATAAATAAGTGTTGTTACGCTTAGATGCCTCAACAACTGAACCCATCTTAATGGAAATTAATATAGTAAATAGACTTAACTTTAAGAAAGGACATAGGCTACATTTTATCGCGAAAAATAGGGGATGAAAATTTGCCTGGAAATTTGAAATTATCAAAATTGATAAGTATAGATAAATATTGAATAACAGAAGTAATAATGAAGAATAAACAAAAGATTAACAGAAGTAATTATTAAGTGACCCTCAATGTCTTATTCGCATTTAATAAAATTTGAAATGACTGTTTATGTCATAAATAAATTAAAAAAAAGAAGTATTCTAAGGGAAAAATATTTCTGCTCAAAGAAACTACACCACGCGTATAAAATTATGCCTATATATAATACAGTCAACTGATCTTGTAAAGTTCATTTAGCATATTAATTCTATGCTTACACGGCACTAAATTTGTTTACGAATGGCGCCACCGATTAGTCTATCTCTGTAATCGCTTAAACTTGTTTAAAAAAAAAAGGCATGTTTATAAATTTAAACATCAAGTACCATTATCAGTAATTTTATTCTAATGTCACAGATATTTTTAGCTATTGTATGTAAATAATGCTGTCCCTAAATTAGTAAGGGTATAAGTTATTACATCTAAAATAGATGTACTTATCGATAGTAATAAAAAAAAATGCTTTCGTCTTGTCTCAATTTATTATGGTTTACGTAACATGATCAGGTCGTTATTTAGGTAGCTTTCTACGTCTTCGAATGCAATTACCGACGTTCCAAAAATCTCATCGTTCCTAGGCGTAAGTGACGTGTAGCTTCAAAGAGAAGCTGCCCTATACTGCGCCGCTCCGATCAAGAAAAAAACGGACAAGTGCACAAGCTACTCATCCGGGTTTTTCATGTCATTCCGGACCGGAAAAAATCGGACCGCCGGACCTGAAAATTCAGTGTAGTGCACAAGCGCCCTTTTAGAAAGATTTTCATGATTGTAACCGGCCACTCGTCAAAGTATCATGTCCGCAATTGATTTCGAACTCCACCCTATATGTATTAAGGTTTAAAATCAAGTGCAGATGATTTAAACTTACGATGTATTTTTGACTGTACCTATGTTATCTATGACTGTAGTAGATACATTTGTAAAATGAAGGGCTCGCATTTTTCTCAATAACTGAAGTTTGAGATTATAAACATTATCTTTAGTTAAAAAGCTTTATTAATAGATTCATAGAGATAAGAGATACTTGCAGATGAACATTGTAATAAACATTAATTATATTCAGCAAAAATATTAAATAAAGAACAGTGAAGAATATTAGACAAGTCTACAATAACATCACATGTAATAATAATAAATGCCTAATAGGTATTTACTATAATACTCATAATGAGGAATGTCTAATTTATTGATTGCATTGCAAACATAAAAAAATATGAATTACATACTAACTAATTTACATAATAACAAAAGATTAGCCTAATTTAATAACATTTTTCTTTATGACATATAGAAATTATATAATAAAATATCTAACTTTATCCTCATTACAAAATTATATTACATTATAATATTTAATAAAATTATTGGTATTATAGATCCTTCTGTATTAATTTTATATACATAATCTTTAAAGATAGAAAGAGAACAGGACATCAAATGACTTTTGATTTTAAGAAATATGCTAAAACAATATATGAAATTTCTATGATTAAAAATATTTGAAGGAATTCCTACATTTTCTACTTCCAGTTCCAGTTGATAATTTTTAATTTCATTGTTCTACCAGCATAAAAAGGATAATTTAATACATCATTTTAATTATAGGCCCACCAAAAGCTCAATCACCTATTACCTCAAACAGAAATTTGAATGATGAATTTAAATTAGAATTGTGCAACATGTAGTTTTAAGCCTGCAGCTTGTCATCATCAAATTTTCTGCATAATAATGTTCACAGAGAAAATCTGGTGCTAACATTGAATTAAAATATGTGTAATAATATATTCCATGTACCATTCACTTCTTGTGAATATTTGGGGTGGTAGACTGGAACACAGAAGATGCAGACATAAGATTTTCTATGTACTGTCCTAGAACTTGATTTTCTGATCGAAGCTTTAAATTTTCTTCTTTCACCGAATCCACTCTTTGTGACAAATCTGAAAATTAATGATTTATATTTTTCTTACAGATAGTTTTTTTATTATAGACTAGACTATATATAAACTATACCCTTGTGTAGTCCTACTCACTGGTAGAGAATTCTTTAAGGCATTTATTTCACCTTTGGTATATTTGTAGTTGTACAATTAAGCATAAAAAAATATATCAAAGACCAAAATATCTCCCAAAATCAATGCCTACAGGTAAGGTGCCCAGAAATATACAGTAAAATAGCCAGTGATTCTTTGGGAGAATAATAATTGATAATTATGATTGTGAAATTGTAATAACTATTAAAGTGATTTAGCACAATATAAATATAAAACAAAGCTTTTGTTTCTTTCAGAACATACCATCTAAAGTGTTTTGCAGTTCTAGGACTTGCGATATCAAACGTGCCTTTTCTTCCTGTTCATCAATACCAGAGTCAGGTTCGAAACTGGGAGGACCGTTCAAGCCAGGGCTGGAAGAACCTCCTGTGTAGGAACTTGGTAAGGAGTCCATGGATCGACCATGATCTAGATGATTATTTTCGACGTCATCAGTGATTATAACTTGGGGATCATCGTCAGCCAAAGGAATATTATCATCACTACACTTCTGAATTATCGACGACATTTGTGAGCTCTAATAGAATTTACAATAATAAATAATATTTTGAAAATCACAAAATCAATGCAAAATTGACAAATTATTCAATTTTCCTTTCGTTTTTATTTTTATCAAGGCACGGGGATCTAGCACACACAGACAGTTTCTGCCATGTTTGTTTTCACAACAACATTAGTCTTCGACGTTTCAATACTTTCATCCTTCCTTTAAAGCCAATTAAAAGATCTAAGAAAATATTTGATACATATAAAATCCATTTGTAGCTGTAGCAACGAGGAAAATCATTTAAGTCTAAAGGAAATAGGTGATCCATTCCGTTTATGTACTAAAATTAACCACTTCTATGATCCCTTTACCTATTTAAAAAATAATTAAATTGTCATTTCTTATAACGAAGTGACTCGGTTGGCGAAAATTCAATTTTATATTAATCGATATTATATTTACCAAATTAATCAATCTTCCCAAAAAATGTTTTTCCAATAATAATAAGAAACTATTAAAAAAACTATTTTTCTTATAAAATTATAGCAAACCGGATGGCACATCTACCTACAAAAGTTTCTCGCGTTCGTTTGCCAACTCTGTTTTGAGATGGTTCGACCACACGGGCAAATTAATAAACGGCTCACGCGCGCCACGACGCTAGTCGGCCACGAGCTCTCAGAGTGAACGTGCGCGCGCTATCATGTCAATCGTGAATACGTTAATAAAATTCTGCGCAATCTCATTGTAAAAAGATCGAAATAAAAAATTATATAGACATTTCTCAATCAATATTTTTTTTATCGAACCTCATCAAATAATACATAAAATAATTAAACAATTCTATAAAAATTCCAAACACTACCTTATTTGTTCAGCAGAATAATAACTTACTAGATAAACAGAAACAATTTACTTCGATAGGATGCGTTTTTTCAATATGCTGCTTTAAATTTTTTATATTGCTGCACGTTTTAAGTTGCTTGGAGTAATATTTACACTTTGCAGTTGTACGATTTTTTTATTAGAGTAAATCCTCCAACCGCATTTTGGACGTTTAGTTGCCAGTTTTATGCAAAACACCATTAGTAATAAACCACAAACTCATTTGCACATTTAATCAACGGTTTTTAATGTAATGTTTATGAAAAAAAATGTAGTTAAACGAGGGATTTTTTTTTAAACCCACCGTTTTTTTAAAATATCGAATGACTGTTATGTTACAACTATTTTACCAACCGATATGTCGAGTGTTGCCAAAATAAAATAATATATTTTTTGCAACACTCGACAAATAATATTAAGTTTGAGCAAGTAATCCTATTACTGTTAAAAATTCAAATTAGGATGTGAAACTAAGAAATAAATAATCTATTTACTTATTGAACGATCATAAAAAAAATCGAAAGTATGGTTTGAAATAGCGAAATAAAAAAATCTATTATTAAAAAGTAGATAATTTTTGGTCACCAAATCGATTATACTTAAAAACTATTTATGTATTTAAAAATCGATTATTGGTCACATCCCTACATAGACATCGCTAATATAGTTTAAAAAATTGTTTTGTTTTGGTGAAAGGCATGTGAATGGGATGTAATTAATTTAATTTCTGCACTGAAAGCTCGTTTGATCTTAAAAAAATGTCTTTCGCCATAAGAAGAACTACTGAATTAATTGGTGCTACAAAATGGTTTCTAAGACGAGGTTAGAAAAATATCATCTACCCTATCTGTTGCTATTTGTTACAACGAATGATGGTTGTATTTTGACTTATTTTTAGAGTGCCGAGTCTTATCTACTCTACCTGAAAAAACGGAAGAACCTGAGAAAGTAGTGGCCCGAAAAAGATCTACCGGACGACGTTTATTCAAAAATGAAGCAATTCTCGAATCCAGGCATATATATCCGGAATTTTTACCGGACCCCAATCCCAAGTGGAGGAACAGTCTACGAGAAAAACTAGAAAGAGCTGATATGCTTCAAAGGAGAAGTCAAATTGATATACCTGAATTTTATGTTGGTAAGTGTATTTATCCAAAAAAATTTACATAGAACAATATTTTCTCCAAGATCCAAAGAAGTTAAAATACTATCTCCCAGAAGTGAATTTAATAAATAAAGGTAAATCTATTACAGGATCAATTTTAGCTGTTACCATATCAGATCCACATGCTCAGAGCAAAACGAATAGATTTGTTGGTATCTGTATTGAACGCAAGGGATGTGGTTTGAGAGCAGAGTTCACCCTTCGTAACGTTGTGGACCACCAAGGAGTAGAGGTGCGTGTGTAAATTTAGAAAATAAATGTTTAATAAGTTTACTTTAATATTTAAATCTGATTTGAGTATTGAACAAAAATTTCTTATGAAATAAAAAGATTTAATATGAAAAGAAATATTTTCTTTTATATATGTATCAACTGTTATTGACAAAATTACACTTTGGCAAAACTACATTAATTCATAGTTTATTCGATGTGATAATTTTTGAAATCTATTGAAACAAGGTTTGAGGAAGGTTTACTAGCTCAGACATATGTGTTGTTGTTGAGTGTGCCAAATATTGTTTAATATATGATAAAATCATTTAAATAAATGTTTTAAAATTACTGCTTATAATCAATTATATTGCTTTACATCTTTCAGGTGAGGTATGACCTCTATGATCCTACAATCCAGAACATCCAAGTTCTAAGACTTGAAAAGCGTCTAGATGAGAAACTGTTTTATTTGAGAGATGCTTTACCAGAATATAGTACATTTCCCTTTGATATGGACCCGGAAATACTACCAGAAGGAACTCCTGTTCCAATTAATCCAGTACAGGTTAGTAGCTGTTAGTTATGTTTATTATAAGGTGTAACATAGTGCTTACACCTTATAATTATTGCAAATTTACCTACTATATACGTATTCTGTGACATTTAAAATTGGAATCTGTCAGGTTAAGTTGAAACCAAGGCCCTGGTTAGAACGCTGGGAACGACAAGACTTGAAAGGTGTATCAAATATTGAGGAACATTTGAAAGAAAAGGATAGAGTTCGTAGAGAACTAAGGAAGACTCCATGGGAAAAATATGATTTAATGAAACAATATAGGTAAGTAATTTTTTCACACTTATTATCATTATACCAGTAACAGAATTTATAAAATAGATTCATTTGAGTGTGTATTCCTTGGAAACAAAAATATATATTTTTTTATATTTATGACATCAAACAGTTGTATATTAAGCTTTACTTAATTAAAATTACACCATTTGTTACCAAATGTACAACCCACACCAAAGTCCTCGAAATAATAGATATTTTAGGAAATAATGAGTGTGTAGATAAATATTCAAACCGAGATTCAACAATTGTTAATTCCATAAAGTATTAAGGTGATTTCTTTAGGAGAGTTCTTCATGAGATTAAATAATATACTTGTTTATATCATCATCATCATCAGCCCTTTTTATGTCCTCACTGCAGGGGCTTGGTTTTCCTTATGGATAGTAATGAAACATTGGCCAAGACCCTCCAAGCGGGCCCAATACAGATTGATGGGTTTTAACGACTGTAAATGCAGCCAGGACCAATGGCTTAAAGCGCCTTCGGAAACGGAATAGCTCGAGATAATATCATATTTTGGTCACCCATCCCTTGACCGACCTTAGTGAAAGTTGCTTAACAACAACGATCGCAGGCCACGACGCTCACCCGCTACGCCATAAAGCTACATATTTATATAGTAAAATAATTTTAAATGATATAAATATTAGGTCCTTACATATGAAATTGGTGTTTGGTATGGGAGGAACAAAAAGTTGAATATTTTTAATATAATATATTTATTTAATCAAAGTATAAACCATTGTTATCTATGAACTTTTGCCAACTCATAGGTGGTTCATTGATCCCCTTACTAAATCAACAATTCGGACGGGAATCAATAAAATCTTTGAAGGCGATTTGCACTACTCCATTGGAGTTGAATTTTTCCCTTGCAAGAACTTATCCAAATTCCATAAAATTGTAATCTTTTGGAGTAAGGTGGATGTCTTAGATATTCCAATTGAAGCTCTTCTAATTTGGTACCCGTCTGTTGTACAGTGTGTGGTATAGCGTTGTCGTGAAGTAGCAGTGACGTAGAGCGATTGATCAGCCTCGGTTGTTTAACAGCTAGTTATTCCCCGCATGGTTTGCAATTTCTGACAATAGACGTCTGCCGTAATCGTCTGGCCAGATTTAAGAAAACTGTAATGAACGACACCGGCACTGGTCCACCGAACGCTTACAAGTAACTTTTATGGGGTCATTTTTCGCTTGGGGTAGGATTTGGCTTGCATGCCAGGGTCTAACCATTACGATGAGCGCTTCCGATTATCTTAGAGAATCCACTTTTCATCACAGGCAATGATTCGATTTAAAATCCCTTCATTATTGTGCCGGTTAAGTACTGTAAGGCAGCAGTCGAAGCGCGTTTACCGGTTTGCTTCACTCAATTCGTGAGGTACGCACCTTTCAAGCTTTTTAATCTTTCCAATTTGCTTCAAGTGGATTAAAAACAGTTTTATTACTAACACCGCAACTTGCAGCTAACTCGGATGTTATTTGCGATCGATCCGCTTCCACAATAACCTTCAATTCTACATTATTAATTTGGGTCTCCGGTCGTCCACGGGGCTTGTTCTGCAGGTCAAAATTTCCAGAACGAAAACGTTGAAACGCACTGTTGTATTTTGCGACACAACCGCCATACACATCATGAACCCTTCGAGCCGTTTCCGCAGCACTGGTACCACGGTAGAACTCGCACTCGTAAATAACACGATATTTCAAGTTTTCCATTTTTTTATACTGGGTGACGTAAATAGGACAAACAGAAGAAAAAAACAAAAACAAATGAATGCCGCCTAACGAAACACAAATACATGTGTCAATGGCTGTATAAATTTGAATTTGGAATTCCCAACCAAGGAGGAGAAATTTGTGATTAATGTGGCCAGTACGACAAATCGCCAATTTCATATGTGAGGACCTAATATTATATTAGGTTTTTAGTAAATGTCTAATACATAGGACAGCATCATTGACACAGTGTTTAGCATGCTCCAGTCTGTGCTAAAGTTTTATGCAATTTTTGCAAGCGTTCATAGGTTGGGTGACAAAATTTATTATCTGCCTTTTTTGTTAAGTCATTAAACCCACTGCATTTGCTGTTGATATACCCACTAATCCTCACCGAGCGTGCTTGAAGGTTATGGAACACTCCTTTTATTTAATTCCATCCATATGAAAGGCCCGTTCTTTATCATTAGGGACATTAGCAGGCTCATCATGTAGTAGAATATTAAATTACTGTACTTTAACATAATCCTGTTTAACTGTTACAGGAAAACCATACCAATTGAAGACCAAAATGATATTTGGGATGAAGTACATAACCAACTGCAGCAGTTACAGATGGCCAAAAAGAAAACAGTGAGAAAGCGCACATTTGTTACACCTAAAACGCAACTTGCTTAATTGTTAATTTCTTACTGTCGTATCATTTTAGAAGAAATTAAAACATATATGAATTATTATATTTGATCAATTTTGCATTCACAATGCTATACATAAAAATATCCTTAATGGAAAATGCTTAAAAAAACAATTTGTCCCATCTCAGAGTGCCAGGGACAAATTGGATTTTTTAAGCATTTCTCGTTAAGAATATATGATTACCTTTCTATTGTATGATGATTTCGGTCCCCTTTACATAGCGTTGAAATTATATTTGCTTCCCTAAAGTAAAGCAATAAATAATTTCGTGAATGTTTATAATTTTCCTTTCATCACGAACAGAACAAAGAACGCTTTAAAATAAAATTTGCATTGAAAACAAAGGTCATCTACATTGCGATTCCTAAAAAAAAATTAAGAACTACTATGAGATCCATAGATCGAGATCAGTGCTTCTATCGTCCCAAATCACAACAAATTGTTGGTCGGAGCAGGAGTGGGCCATACAAATCGTATATACAGGGTATCCGGTGGCAGATTTATATTTTCAAACTTAAATAAAAAACGTAATAATTGACACAAAGTTTTATTAAGAGTATTAAACGATAGAATACAAATGCGGATTTTATTTTTTAAAAAGTGTGTCATCCAAATGTCCGCCGTCGAGTTGAACACACTGTTCAAAACGGAGCCTTGTGTTCTGCGCCACACGCTGCAGTAAACTTGGTTCAATTGAGCTGATTTCTCGACGAATGTTTTCTTTTAAAGCCACAAGAGATTGGGGATTGTCGTTATAAACCCTCTCTTTGAGGTAGCCCCGTAAAAAAAAATCCATGGGAGTTAGATCGGGCGACCTCGGTGGCCATGGGATGTCCCTAAAGCGACTGATCAATTTTTAGGGAAAATTTTCTCGAAGCAAATTCATCGAAGCTCTGGCTGTTCTGCTGTCGCCCCATCCTGTTGAAACCACGTGTCTGAAGAGCACAATGAATGAGCTCGCAGTTTTGGTAGAAATAATTCCGTAATCATGCGTCGATAATTTTCACCATTGACATTCGTCGCCTGGCCTCTAGAATTTTCGAAAAAGAATGATCCAATTATCTCATGCGTGGATAAGGCACACCAAACAGTTACCCTGGGGCAATGCAATGGTTTTTGATGTTTCAATCATGGGTTGCGGGTTCTTGGAGACCAGTAACGGCAGTTTTGCTTGTTGACGTGACCGTTTAAGTTAAAATGAGCCTCGTCGCTCCAAAAAATGGGATTTACAGTGCGAAAACGCTCCAACATCGTTTCACTAATTTTTTTTCGTAAATAAAAGTCACTTTCTTTCAGTTCTTGAACGATTTGAATTATATAAGGATGGAACTCAGATCTTTCTTTAAAATTTCATGAATAATCGCTCTTGGAAGTCTCAGTGAGACTGCTCTTTCCCGTATTGAAAGTCGCGGATTTTCACTTAAACTGCTTTCAACCAGTTCAATGTTTTCGGGAATTCTTGAAGATCGACTGGGCCCAGGCCGTGGGACATTCATAGCCGAAGCAGTTGCCCGGACTCTGCACCCACGAATGAATTAAATTTACACTCGGTCCATCACGTATTCGCCGAATACCGAACTTAGAACAAAATTGTCGACGAGCAATTACGTAAGAATTCATTACTCTTAAAAAATGTATCCACAGCGACCAGCACGATAGTCACTCGACCACTGCGACATCGTGACTGACAAATCCGCACGATCGATAATTCCAACGCCGCTACCCTCTCCCTGCACAGTTAATTACTTTTTGAAATAATCGTATTTAAAAATATAAATTTGCCACCAGATACCCTGTAGATATGAAAACGTATATTGTATTAATATCGTAATTTCTGATATCGATGCGAACACTCGCTATTGATGCCATACGTTGGATTCAGTATCTCGCTCGATATCCGAAATTTATAGATATAGGATATAAAACCATATCGTATCGTAATAGAATTGAACTGATGAAGGGGTTTGGATTTGTGAGTGAAATGGCAATATTCAAATATTCTTAGGATTCAAAATCTAAGCGTATTGTTAAGGTTGTTTTCATATCTTAATGAGTATTTTGGCACATTTTTAATATACTTCATTTTTATGATGTTCTGATTCTGTTTCGACTGATCACGTGATCAAAAGCACTGCGAGCACCTTACCTCGAAATCTCCAGTGCTCACAGTACAAATATGGCGGCAATTTATGACGTCATAAATTTCCCTAGGGTACTGTAGCAGTGTACTGGCAGTCCATAACGGAACGGATCTTTCAGCAGTAAGGCCACTGCGCAGTGCTCGCAGTGTATATCGGAACATACCCTTAATACATCCCTCATTATTGTTCTTCAAAAATACCTAATTAATCTTGACTGATATGTTTAAAATTTTAAAATGTATATAGAATCTAATATCGTAGCAGACTCATGTCACCGTGTTTTAAAAAGACATAAAAATCAGATTTAATTATTTTTAAAGAATAATAATGACTTATGTATCAAAGCAGAAGTTCAATTTTAGAAGAAATCCCCCATCTGATGGCTAACCATACGGCTGTTCGACAAACTCCGACATGACGTTTTAGGTTGAAGTGTACCGTATTGGAGTGTTGCCACATAAGAATTACGCAGAATTACAGAATGAGGAAGTATTTAACAAATAAAAATTAATGAGGAAGTATTTAAAAAAAACGTTTTTGAAATCATACTAGATGTCATCAGCGATGTTTGGATTTTGTTTATAGTTTTTTAGTGCTTTCGTTTTTTTAATACTTCCTCATTACATCTTGATAGCCGACGAACTACAGTATGAAACTATAAACGGTTAAAATCCTTGTCATTAGTAACACAAATATGATGAAATAATCTATCATTCAAAGAGCTATTGCGGATTTTATTGACTATTTTAATGACCTTGAGTTTATAGCAATCAAGGACATCTGGAATTTGGTTTTTTAAGTTAAATTGAGAATTGACTTGTTCTCAGGTAATTGCACAATGATCCTTCAATGTTTACAGTTATTTCATCAATTCGTGTTTGCACAGAATTATTATTCAAAGGAATTATTCGGATATCTCTGCAGCCGGTTCATGAAGCACAGTAGTTATTACTTCCTTTATTGCTGGAAAAATTAGCTCTTCTCCGATGTTATGTGGCTTGCTTTTTTTAAGTAATTAACAGAGTTATTATATGAAGCTCGAAGACCGTCTTCATCTTGCTTAGCAATCACCGAAAATAGTTTTGCTACACTTGTCTGAATATTATGTTTTTACTCTAGATCTTGAAAATATGCTTATATTCTTATTTGGATGCATTTTATTCAAATGATCTTGAGGTCTTGAAAGCTTCATTGCTTCATTAAAAATGTTTTGAGACATAGAAGGCACAAAGGCGACGATGGGTTTGTGGGATTTCCAATGAATCCGAATTTAATATATTCCGTACAGTATTGGCATCCCTTCTTTTGTACTTCCGCCATTGTTTTGTTTTGCAAATACGTAAATAAGTGTTGAGCTTAAGTAGGTACTGTTTATCTATTACGCGCGAAACCGCTAATGAAGATAACATAAATTACGTTGTTTATGTAGAATTGCATAAGCAGCACGCACCGACAGAAATAAACTTGCATAAACTCGTTTATCTCATTCGACGCTTAGGGCCAGTTTTTTGATCCGTAGTCAAATGTCATTTCACCATTTGTTAACTTGACTATAGTTATAGTTATAATCAAGTTAACAAATGGTGAAATGACATTGCAAGACATGCAAGTTTGTTTTATTTCTGTCGGTGCGTGCTGCTTATGCAATTCTACATAAACAACGTAATATTTATGTTATTTACATTAGCGGTTTCGCGCGTATTAACAAGTTGTTTAATCGCTATTTCGTTTTTTGATGCCAAATTTAACCATAGCCAAATTTAACCACTGGCCAATTTGTTGCCAGCACAATCAGTCATTTTTTCGCTATACATTGACATGGGTAATTTTTTTCTGGGTGACAACACTAACGGTTTGAATGAACGGAGCGAACTATTCGAACGTTCCAAATATCAAATAAACGAAAGAAATCTATAGATTATCAAACAGTGTGGATGTTTATGGTGGATCTGTTGTGTGCACTATGTGTTATTTTTCAGGTAATATAAGGCAATTTCTTTAATAATGTAAGAAAGCAACAAAGATAATTGTTTTCCATTTATTTTAAACTTAACTTTTTTATAAAAAGCATATATTTGTTTTTCATTTATCTTATAGAGAAATACGTGAAAAGAATATAGTATCTAGTATCCAAGATGGGATTGTAATTTTGGAAAATAAATCGAGGACTATGTATATTATGTACTGTAGGCCTATTTACCTTTTGTATTGTCTGTTCGTGGATTTTATAAGATTTTTAATAATTGAATAATTTGGCATATGCCCGTAGAGACAAGAAAAAATATTTTTTATAGTACAAATGTACTAAGGATGATCAATATAAAAATACCCTATAACCCAAAAATGAAAATGAATATTTTCCTATGAAATTGCATCATAAAACGAAATCCTAAAATTAGCTAATGTCCAAATTCACTATAAAATCATGTAGGTTATAAAAACAACGTAAAAAAACAATAACAAGGAACCAAGTAAATACAACGCAGTTGTACATCTGTTCTTTTAACCATTGGTCATTTACTTAACCTAGCTTCCAGTGATGGTTAAATTTTTTGACAAATGGTTGTAATTCTGACAATTGGTTAGGCTAACTATAATCAAAAGACATATTTTTCTGATATTTAACCATTTGTCAAAGATTTTAACAAATGGTTGAGTTAACCACGGAACAAAAAACTGGCCCTTCATCGTTCTCAACGAGTAAGAACAAGTATTATGAATCAGATGATCTATAGAAGAATGCATAATTCGAGTTACTTAACAAAAGAGTTGTTAAAACATAATTGCCCACGGTCTACTATCTACGTAAATTACCTGTCTAGGAGTACTTATAACTATTAAAATGCGAAAGTATGTCGAGAATTATCGAACCGAGTTTGAACAATCTCATAAATAATATTAGTTGATGTTCACAAGTTGTAGTCGAGAGTCGAGAGCCTATG